TAATGTAGATAAATGTAAGTTCTACTAATTAAAGGTTATATATTTAAGATATATAATCTTTATAGATAGCATTTAAATAGACCCTGTTAAGGTTTAGACTATGCTAGATTAGTAATACCTAAAGAACATAAAAGATGTTTAAGCTTTTATAAGATTTACTAACTTTTACTAATAATTTATTAATAACTTTTTACAGCTAGTAAGCCCTATAATTACACTTACTAAAAAAAAAGTTTAATTTAACTTTAACTTAAATTACTAATAGTCTTTTAACTAGCTAAAGAAAGCTTTTACTAAAGCCCTAATACTTTACTACTTTAACTTTAAACTACTAATACTTATAGAAGCTAATGCCTTAGACTATGTAGTAGCAGGAGTTCTCTTCTAGACTAAGCTAGATAGGACTATTAGGCCTATTACATACTTCTTAAAAAGAATAAGTCCTGCAGAAGGTAATTATAAGATCTATAATAAAAAATTACTTGCTATAGTACACTACTTTAAATAATAGCAACCTAAACTAGAAAGTGCAGCGCATCTAATACAAGTTCTATCTAACTATAAGAACTTGTAGTACTTTATAACTATAAAATAACTTAGCTACTAATAAGCTTATTAGTTTAAATACCTGTCTTATTTTAATTTTAAGATTACTTATTATTCTAGTTAAAACAGAAGGAAACTAAATGCTTTTATAAGGTAATCCTAAAATGTCCCTGCTTAGAAAGAAGTGTAAAAAGCTTAACACTAAACTTTACTCTAACTTAAGCTATTTTTAGACCTTAACTTAAATAAAATAAATTAAATAATTAATTAAATTATTACTAATAAGTATTTAAATAATAAATTTATCTAAAAAACTTTAAACCTGCTTTAAAACAGCACTAGTTAGTTAAAAAAAGTAACACTAGCTAACTATAAAAACTAAAATAGTAAGCTATATTACTATAACTAACTTATAATCTTTAATTCTAATAAACTAAGAATTAAACTACTTTAAATTATACATAACTTGCCTGTTAAAAAACACTTAGGCAGAGAAAAGACTCTTAACATACTATAGAGAGAGTACTACTAGCCCTGCATGTTCTATACTGTACACTAATACATATTATGTTGCTATACTTGCTGTAAAGTAAAAGCCTTTTAAGAAAGGTATAATAGCCTACTTAAACTACTCCTAATTTTTAAATAAGCTTAAAAAGACATATTAATTAATTTTATTATAAACCTACTTTTATCTAAAAAGTATATAAATATTATAGTAGTTATTAATTACTTAACTAAGTATTAACACTTAATACTATATTTCTCTATAACTGCTTTTAATATAGCTTAGTTATTCTACTAATATGTATAGGTTTACTATAGCCTGCCTAACATAATTATATTAGATAGAGGTACGCAGTTTGTCTTAGCCTTTTAGAACAAACTCTATAAATAGCTCTAAATTGTCCTCTATCTATCTACAGCTTTTTACCTAGAGACTAATAGCTAGACTAAGAACATAAACACTGTAATAAAATAAGTCCTATAAGTGTACATAAACTACTAGTAAAATAACTAGGTAAAATAGTTAACTATAGCATAGTTTAAAGCTAATAACATAACATCTAAATTAACATAAGTATCTCTGTTTTTAGTAAACTATAGATACTACCTCTAAATAGAATTTAAACTACTTATAAATACTCTTTAACTAACTTATTAATTTATATAAGTAATAAACATAAATAGACTTATTAATAAAATCTAAAATATATTTAAATATGTTTATAAAAAGCTTATATAGGCTTAAGCTTTTTAATAAAAGTATATAAACTAATCTTAAACCTCTACCCCTATGTATGCAGCTAGCAAGAAGGTCTAGCTAGACACTAGAAATATCTAAATAAACTAATAATTAAAAAAACTTAATTAGAAAAACCTTAGCCCCTTTATAGTAGCTTATATAGTTTTATTGCATGCTTACTAATTAATTCTACCTAACAGCATAAAAATACACCCTGTGTTCTATGTATTGTTGCTGCGCTAAGTAGCTTCTAAATTTAACTATCTACTTAAACAGCTAAACTTGCTACCTAAACTTATTATTATAAATAATAAACTAAAATATGTTATAGAAGATGTTAAATAAATCTAGTTTAATAAAAAAAAATATATTTATAAATACTTTATAAAATAGACTAGATATAATAAACTATTATAGAAACTTACAGAAGCTTTATAAAAGAACTTTATAGTAACTTAATTTTATGCCTAATACTTATTTAAACTAAACTTATACTCTAACAAAAATAACCTAATGCTAGAACTACTAATGTAAAGAATTCTTTTTCTAATAAGAGGGGGGGTACTGTTACAGTATCCTCCCTAGATTCTAGACATAACTATATTAGACACATACTAGAGTATTATTAGTGCATGTCTAACATAAATATAATATAACATAGACATAAACTTAAGCATAAACTACCTTAACACTAACTAAACTTAGAATAGGCTTAATTTATACTTAAAGCGCTTAGACTTCTAAGCTAAGTATTTAATTACTAATTTTCTTTTAAACCTTCTTGTTCCTTACACAACGTCTTGTACCTACTATAATACCTTACATAGTAATTAAACTAGACCTCTGTGAAGCTCTATAACCTTACTCGTGCACAATCGTGACAGAAATCTACTTAATTAACTATAAATTACTCTAATAGTAATTTATATAGACTATATACTTTAAGTTGCTCTATTGTATAGTGTTAAGGCAGATTATGTATCTATAAGGCCGGATGTCCCAGAACGGGCCAGTATGGCCTCACCTGACCTGTTTGGAGGTCATATGACCTGTGCTTCGTATATAAGCATGAATCCTGACAAGCGAGGCTTGGCAGCGATTCGTCTCTCTTACAATACACTCCTATCTTTCTCCGAAAGCTTGCTCTCAGTGCTATCCGTGCTACCTACCATCCCATCTTTACAGTATCTAAGTTGTAATAGGCTTTGTAGCTAAGATTGTTATCAGTCTATATAGGCTTGCTTAGTTCTAGAGTTAACCTATTAAAGAGGGTTGCGACGTCTAGGGTCTTAATCAAATTGTTGATTATTGGTTGTAACAGATATAGTCCACAAGCTAATCAACTTAGGCATCTGTAAGGCGTAGAGCGTGACTAGATTGTTTCTTTAGTGTAATGCGTTCTCTAGCATATGTGTACTAAACCAGTTTTTGTGAGAAATTAAGAAGGCTACTAGTATGCTGCTGCGGACACCCTGCTAGTTGTAGGGCGTATATTTGGACACACTCATCGTGAGAGACGACCTTCTGGGGTGGCGTAGATAGCTCCATCATCTCCTTAAGACGCGCGTGTTGGACAGAGCAATGATACACAGCTTTCTATACAAATAGCGTGTTGATTGGTGTATAAAATTTACTATGGCGTTCCAGGGACCCCTACAGCGCATTGACAATGTGCAATACTTTGGCCGGATACCACAGTATTTCACTAAGCAAAGTTCGATCCTTGTCTCTGCCTTTGACACTCAGGTCACATGAAGCTTCGGGAGCGAATGAACTAGAGCACCCAGACTTGACTCTGCGTACTGGCTCCGAGCTGTCCATCCAGTCGCTGGAAAGCACCACGTCTTCGTGCCCACCCCAATCCGTCTCAACGCAATGTCCAGGAAAGGCTCGATAGCAACACTGGAGCCCGTCATGAGCGAATTTGAAGGTGGGACAAGGAGGGCTTCTGATGATGCGGCCTTGGACGGAACCGTCGCGTATTTCCAAAACCTTGTGGGAAGGACCTCGATTGGCGAGTAACACTAGTTATGGGATAGGTTTTGGGAAGACGACAGCCATGGCGTTGGGAGTCCTTCACAGCTCGCCGTTCCAGCCCCTTCCACGTCAGCCAGGCGGCGTTTTGTTGCGTTGCCCTCATTAGCGTCCGCTTTGCAATTACCGCAGAATATAGTTCGCATCCAAAAAGAAGGTGAGGGCTTCACGGCCAAAACAGATGATCGAGCTGACGCCTATGCTGAGCGCAGCTTCGTTAACACAATGAGTCCATGAGGGGGGTTGCCCTCCGGGTGTATGCGGCTGCCATTACATGTTGTCCTCACAAGAACACCGAGCACAGCTGAGAATACAACGAAGAGGGCCATGGGAAGGGGTTGCTTAATTGGGTAATTAGTAACAGCTTGATAAAATGTCGGAGGATGAGACACTGTGGAAATGAAACGTTGATTGGATGATGATCGTAGCAGAGCCGCAACAATGAGGTGGGGCAACCAGGAAGTGATCTGTCAGATGCTTTCTTCGGCAAGAGCAGCGACGCAACAGCGGTTGGATGGGACGATGAGAGCGGTCAGTCTGCCTTGGCCGTGCCTTGATTGGCTTTCTTACTCCGACAGGGCGCTGAAGGACTTATCGTATCTGCGCGTTGCCCTCTCTCAGCCGAGCGCCCTTTGTGTTTGGCATTGTTGGTCTGACTGCCTTTTTGCCTTTTTGCCTTTTTGAATTTTGCCTTGTGGACGTAAGGTCTGGAAAGCGCTAGATACTGCAATGTAATCCTATGGGATCCGTTGGTTGCGGTCAAGAAGCTTGGTGCGACGCAAAAGCAATGACGAGCGGACGAGGATGACATGTCGCGGTAATAGCACAAGATACCGGATGCAGACAGCTGCAGATATGGTGGAACGGGGAGCACATTCAGCTGCCGTGAGCCCCGTGCCAAGGATGAAAGCAGGGAGGCTAATGCAAAGGGAAACCAAGGCGACGAATGAAGCGCAGCGACGGTGAGCGGCAGCCAATGCCAGGGGGGTCCGAAAATGCGATGTGCGGTCCCGTGACCCTCTGCAGACTGAGCTGTGCCCTGTTAGATGGCGTTGGAGGGCTCACGACTCGTGAACTGCCTTTCGAACTTGGGGGTTGCGGCTGCCAGCTCATCACCGCAACGCACGATTCAAAAGCCAACCTCTCCCATGCCCACACCCTCCGACCCTTTCTGCTCGCCTCGCCATTCCAACGCCCATCTCATTCGTATCCTCACTCTTCACCACCTGCCACCAAGATCCAGAGTAAGACCAAGCATGATAGCACGCCTTAGTTTGAGTGACATTGCTGATCGCTATTGCGTCGCAGATTCCATATCCTGAAGCGATGATTAACTTCAGCCCCACCGTTTTCCAGATGATCGAGCATTCTAGACTGGAATTTTGGAAACGGAATGCCGACCTTACCGAAAACGAGCGACTGGAGCATTGGATGCGCTCTGGTAGCAATCACCTGACGTGCAATGTCCAGCCTGCGTCTCCCTGCCAGGGTCCTCGAACCATGTCGTATGGTGCACCTACCATTACCCACACTCCAGTATGGAACACTTGCTCTTTGGTTATCACCTCCCCTTCTAACGGTCCCTAGACCTCAGACCCGAACCCCATGGACCGCACACACTCAGCTCCTGCTGCAGTACCTATGAACCGCTCGGCTTCGTCACTCTCCTTTAGCAATATCGTCAACAGCAATGGGCTTGGTCAGCGATCCATCTCCGCCATGTCGGCTTCTTCCCCGCTTGCTGGCCATCAGGTGAGCGAATACTCACTGTACTCGGAGTCTCTGTCAACCCGGAGCCGGCCCTCCCTCCAGACCATCGATGAGATATCAACCTTTGGCAACAATGGCGTAGTCGAATACGACCCTACCGATTACATCAACTACCTTGAGTCGTCAACCTCCCCCTCCTTTCCCTCTCAGCAAGACCTCAGCCGACAACTTGTCGAGCAACTGACACAAAATCCACTGTGGAGTCCGTCGTCGGACGGCTCTGCTTCCCCAAGCACAGTCTCGACAGCTACTCTGATGACTCCAGCTACTCGCTCGAGTAGCACTATGAGTTATCAGAATAGTTTTAACAACCAACTTGTTTGTGACCTTTCAATGATGCGTGTTAGTTCTGATTGTTCAAGTGTGTACCCTGTGCTCACTGAGGATACCTTTCTTAATTCTTTTGCTTCTGATGTTGACACGAGAAATATCACTTCCGATATTGATCCTTCTCCTTTTCCTAATTTCACTGGACCTTCCAGTGAAACTGTTTCCCCCCCTGCACATGTTTCTTCAAGTGTTTCGACACTTACTTCCTTTAAGAATCAGTCGTGCCTGGCGGAAGATATGCGGAGGTCGACTTCATACGAGAGCGAGAGCGATTCGAGCAGCGCTTCAGCGTCGTCCACTAGCTCCCGACACTCACAACGAAACCGAGAGGTCATCACACAAGCCTCTCGCCCGATTGCTCCAAAGGCAATCGAAAACGATGAGACTCGCTCACCATCATCCAATGTTCAGATGAAGCAGATGCGGTCTGCAGATGGTTCGTCGAAAGACGTTGCTCTTATTACTAAAGCTCCCTACTCTCGACCTAAGCACGAAAAGGTCAAATGCCCACATTGCGACGAAAATGCGAACGGCTTCCGTGGCCCCCACGAGCTCGACAGGCACAAGGCACGCGCGCATGCTCAAATCCGGAAAGGCTTCATATGCTATGATTCGTCGCCAGACAAGAAATTCCTCGCGAACTGCAAGCACTGTCGCAACCAGAAAATTTACGGTGCGTACTACAATGCTGCCGCACATTTGCGACGCTTCCACTTTCACCCTAAGAAACAGGGACGGAAGGGCAAGCACGATGAGAGACGAGGTGGTAGCGGCGGAGGTAACGATCCTCCGATGGACTATTTGAAGCAACATTGGATTCATGAAGTCGACGTGCGAAACGAGCCCAAACAATCGAAAAAGCGAGCCGTTCAACAACGTGACTCGGACAACATCGATTCGAATGTGACTGTTGCTAATTCATTGGGCGTCAACACGTACGATGCCTCGTATCCATCAAATGCTTCGCAGCCCATCGACTTACCGAACATGAATATGAGCATGGTCGAGTACAATACCTTTGCGGATTGTAGTTTGTACATGAACTCTAACGACAACTCGTACAATCCATCAGCACAGCTTGCTGCTTACAACGACAAGAGGTGTTCATCGACATCAGATTTCAATGACTTCCAATTCGACGCTGAAAATTTCAATAACTATATGGCCGATTGAGGGCAACTTTTTGTTCGTCCCTTCTTGTATTTAATAAAGTATTGGCGCAACGGTGTCTAGATGATTGGGGACACCAATCATCGGCGGGGAGACGGGTTCGCATCAACGGAGTTAGTTGATGCATCTTTCGAGGGTTGGGGTTTTGGGATATTATGACTGATGAGTGCCGCTCACGAAGTTCTGGCGTTAGTGTTTGGTCCTTGTCTATTTCACTTCGTTGGCTGTTTCTGTTCGTTACGGTACCATTAGGAGATGATGGTGTTTGTTCATTTCTCTTCGCAATTTGCGGTTCAGAATAGCTTGTATTTAGTATTAGTAGGTAAGGTTCTCTGTGTGTGGCTACAGCTATACTAACATGAAAATATCTTTAACAATTTAAGTTTATTAGCCTTTTATATAGTCTGTTATAGGCTTTTTATTACTTATTAATAATTTAAAATAAACTATTAACGTACACTACAGGCAAGTTGCTTACACACCTTAGTTACTTAGTTTTGCTAAGATCTTACTAAACTACTCTTCTTACACTAATGCATTCTTAATAACACTACTTAGATGTGCTAAAAAAAAAAAAGTTAAATACAGCTTATACTTTAAGCTTTTAAATAAAATATAACACTTTTAAAGTAATATACTATAGCTATGTATAAAGTTTTTTAAAAAATAATAAATAACTAATACACTAAATAACCTTTATAAGCTAATTTTATAGCTACCTTATAAAAGCTAGATAATAATAAGAAGTAAGTAATTATTAAGCATATACTTAAGCTAAATATATAAGAATTTTCCTTTTAGCTAGCAGCTATAGCTAATATAGTTAATTCTTTACACGCTAAGTGTAATCTAGGCTACGTTAGCATAAACTAGCTTAGTATGTGTTACAACCTAGGATAGGGCTGTAAGCGAGTGTCAGGCGGCATTGGAACTGTACAATCACTATTAGTAGACAGCTCTCTTGGCTACACAGTACGAGGCTTGGCGCAGACCAGCCGGAACAATCAGATCATGGTATACCGATCAGGTATAGCTGACCGCAGCGACCGCAGCGACCGCAGAGCTAAGGACCGCAGTCATAATAGTCACAACAGACAGAGCGGTTACTATAACAAGTTGTCGCGTATACTAAGAGCCTTAGCTGGGGCTCAGAGCCTGGGACGCAGCTCGGGATCTGGAGATATTATGTTCCGAAGCTCGGTGTATATAAGGAGAGCCTTCAGCTCTCTTAGATAGCAGAGTCACTTCATCCGATCTTCTGAACAGCTACTGCCAGGCTATTTTATCCTCCACACAAGTATATAGTCTTAATCTTAACTATAGTTAGGGGGGGTGTAATTAAAGTTTAGTTTTATCTTTATAATAAGACTAAGTAGCTATAACTATTTCTAAAGACATTTATTACTTTAGTATATCTTATAATATATAACGTACTTCACAGGCGAGTTGCTTACACACCTAAGTTGCTTACTTTTGCTAAGACCTTACTACACTACTTTTCTTACACTAATGTATTTCTAACAACACTACTTAAACATGTTAAAGGAATGTTAAATATAGCTTATACTTTAAGCTTTTAAATAAAATATAACACTTTTTAAAAGACACACTACAGCTATCTGTAAAGTCCCTTAAAAAATAATAAGTAACTAATATACTAGATAACTTTTCTAAGCTAATTATACAGCTAACTTATAAAAGCTAGATAATAATAAAAAGTAGGTAATTATTTAGCATATACTTAAGCTAAATGCATAAGGATTTCCCCTCTAGCTAGTAGCTGTAGCTAATATAGCTAATTTTTTACATGCTAAGCATAATATAGGCTATATTAGCATAAACTAGCTTAATATATTTATTAAGTATTACTTAAAGCTTAAAGTAAAGTTTAAGTGTAAGTATAACTATAAAAAAGCTTTTTATAAAGATTTTATAGTAATTTAAAGCTAGTTTAACTTTATAAAGAATATTAAAGCTAAGTATAGTATCTAAAATAACAACATGTATAACTTTAATAAAATAAGGTTTATAATAAGCTAGATATTTACTAAAGTAGTTGTTATAAGTTTAGAGAGATAAGGATAGCTAAAAGTAGTCTAGCTAGGTAACTAGAAGTAGACAACAGCTATTTAGAGTATTAATGCTAAAAAGTAAGCTATTTTACTTTTTATTATCTTTTAAAGTAGCAACTACTTTTTAAACTAGTATAAAAAAGAAAATCTACTTTAAAATTAAGTTATTATAATTTCTAAGTGTAGCTAGACTACTAATTAGCTTAGTCTAGACTAGTTAAAGCACTTTAACGTGTATATAAAAAAGTGTACTGTTAGTAGCTACTATTTGCTAGTTATTAATAGCTATAAAAGCTATAACTTACTTTATTTTTAGTAATACTATAAAAATAATAAAATTATTACTATTTACATGCTTTTTTACTTATTACACCTTTTATAGCTACTTAATGTAGGTTGTTTTACTTTTTTAAAAAAGATATATAGGCGCTAAGCTAAAAACTTTATACATAACTAAATTACTTATATTATAAAAATAAAGTTCTTACTATGCTTTAAAGTAGCTTATAATGCTATAATTACTTTTAGTAATATCTAAAAAGAGTTCTAAGGCACTAAATTAGTTCCTTTTAACCTATAATAAGTTATAATAAGCTTTAATATAAAGTTACGCACTTTATTACTACTACTACTTATATATAATAAGCCCTAGTAGTTATAAACCCTAAGTAATACTTTAGAACTTAGGTTATAATTAATGCTTATAAAAATAAAAATTTAAAAGTATATAAATAGTTTACTAACTTTTATAGTTAAGGTGTTTAAAAAGGTCTTAAAAAGGGCAGTAATAATTATGCATAAGCTAGTGTTAGTGTAATAGAAAATTACTAAGCTTTAAGCAGCTAATAAGGCTACTACATAATATAAATTACATAAAAAAAAGTAAATTAAGGTAGAAAAGACTTTAATAATTTAGAAAAGCCTATGCTTAATAGCTTTAAAAAAGTTTAAAGTGCGCAGTAATAAAAAGAAGGTAAAGAAGCAGGTGTAAGCTAAAGTAGGTAAGCTATCCTAAAGGCGCTACAGACAGTGCAATTAGACTAGGCATAATGCGCAAATGTGTAAGTAAGAAGCAGAAGTAGTATCTAAATAATATTCTAGGCTGTACTGTACTATATAGTGCTAGAGCAGGTTGTTATAGGCTATAATAGAGTTTGTTAGGGTGGGGTCTTGGCAAAAGTAAGCAACTTGGGTGTGTGAGCAACTCACTCGTGAAGTACGTTACAGCGTAAGAGACAAACTATAATTAGCCTAACTTCCTCTCTCTTCTCTTTATAGGCTGTAAGGTTAGACTATACATTCTCTCTAACTTATTCTTATTACTAACACTCTTGTAACGATTCTCATGAATCGTTCCATCTCGGGCGTCCCGGAACCTCCGGAAGGCCCCCGTATCGGCCCCGACCCTAACCTAGCCCTGACCCCTGCTGTTACCCCTATTCCCTTATGTATTTAGTTGCACCTTGCCCCTATAGCTAGCTTAGTAGTTTTCTAATATCCTTTATATAAGGCCTATAGGTGTTAATAGCAATTCCTAGATTCTAAGTCCCCACGCACTCTTATATGCCTCTAAGTAGATTCCTACTGCATTTAGACCTATTGTCTTACCTATGCTATTACATTATATTAAAAAACTTACTATTACTAGTAACAGCCTTATTATAATATTACACTTATTATTTATTTAACTATGTTTAAGCTCTAAGATGTGTTTAATTTAGTTTAGGTTATAATACTTACATACTATTATATTAAACTACTTAGTTTATAGATAGGATACTAGAGACTTTTTATTAACTAAAGCCTTTAAGTTTAGAACTTTCTATCCTCTATAATTAAAATTACTTTTAAAAAAGTTATGTAAAATGTGCTAAAGTAGAAACGTAGAGACTACTAATAACTTATTAGAATTAGAGATAACTGCTAATGCCTAACTCTTTACTACTAACCTTTAACTACTAACTACTACTTTATTAATAGCTAAACCTGCCTCTGTAGAACCTAAAGCTAGACCTATCTAATTTAGAGTTAACCTCTAGCAGCTAATCTAGCTAAGACTACTAGTTAACCCCTACTAACTACTAAATTACCTCTAATAATGCCTTAAATTACTACTGCTACCTTAATAGCAAAAGACCTTTTAGGCACCTTTAATAATACTTAAATGTTACCTTACTAAACGCACGCCTAAGATTAATAACTGCATAGATAGCAAGGAAATTAGCTAGACATCTATACAGATTAATATTAAAGTAGGCGCGCACGCATAGCGTTTAGTTTAGAGGACACTGCTAACAGTGTAAAGGAATACTTAGAGTAAGAACACTAGCTAAATTAGACTAGTTTTAGTTTAAGAATGTAAAGAACATAACAGCAATACTTTATACTATAACTACTACTAATAAGAACTATTAGTCTATAGAGGGGGGGGTAGTGTAATAATTCTTATAAATTGTTCTATCTTAGGCGTCCTAGAACCTCTAGAAGGCCCCTGTATTAGCCCTGACCCTAACCTAGCTCTAACCCCTGCTGTTACTCTTATTCTCTTCTGTATTTAGTCGCACTTTGCTTTTATAGCTAGCTTAGTAGTTTTCTAATATTCTTTATATAAGGCCGATAGGTGTTAATGGCGATTCCTATGTTCTAAGTCCCCACGCACTCCTATATGCCTCTAAGTGGATTCCTACCGCATTTGGACCCATTGTCTTGCCTGTGCCGTTACAACTCTAATACAACCTAGGCTTGCGCACCTAACGCACGTTCTTAATTAGCATGTAATTAGTAAGTAGATATTATAACATTAATTACCTTCCTCTTTAAAAAGTATAAATTTTACACTTAACATCTTAATAGCAAGCGCAGCGCTATCTAGAAGTAACGTACTTCACGGGCGAGTTGCTCACACACCTAAGTTGCTTACTTTTGCTAAGACCCTACTAAACTACCCTTCCTACACTAATGCATTCCCTACAACACTACTTAGACGCGCTAAAAGAATGTTAGATACAGCTTACGCTCTAAGCTTTTAAACAAGACATAAAACTCTTAAAGAAATGTGCTATAGCTATGTGTAAAGTCTTATAAAAGATAATAAATAACTATAGCGCTAAACAACCTTTATAAGCTAATTCTACAGCTAAATTATAAAGGCTAGGTAATAAAAAAGAGCAGGTAATTATTAAGACTATACTTAAGCTATATACGCAAGGAATTTCCCCTTAGATAGCATTTATAGCTAATATAGCTAATTCTTTGCGCGCTA